TTCTGCAACTTTTATTATTTTAGATTTCAAAAGAATTTAATAGAATTCTAANAGAAAAATGTGAAGAGCCAATTCCTACCATTTTTGCAAAGAATTTGATGGAAACCAATTAATTCTTCCACAATACATTAAAATCAATTTTTTCACAATCACCCATCGAATACCAAAAAAAAAAAAGAAGATATTTATTATTGTTGGATTTTATATTGTTTTGACTTTTTGTCCAAATTAGTAACTAACAAGTTATTTTGAAATCATTAGAATTTTCATGATTTTCATCAAATATAATTAATTATATAATTTGGCTTCAACTCAAAATCCATACAAATGTAATAAATTTGTATTTTTTTTTTTAACTTAAACTGGTTTTTTCTTCTTCTTGTAATGGAGATTATCAATTAATAAAATTGATTCTTAATTTATGTGTGTGTCATGCTAGAATCTGTTGTCTACTTAACAACCTCATGAGTAAATCATTGAAAACCCCCCAAGATTTTCACATTAAGAAGGAAAATCATAAAGATATTTTCATTTTGATTCATCTATGATCATGTATGACTTACCCTTTGATCTTCTCGACGAAATTCTCTTCAGATTGGACTCGATAGCTGTGGCAAGCATTGGATGCACGGATAGATTTTTTCGATCATATATATCTGATCCAAAATTTGATTCGTATCATTTTTCTGGAGTCGAATCCAGCTTGTTGTACTTTTTCAACTTTATGGACAAATACGGCAATTTCGTCTGTTGTCACCCTTTTGTCTCTTCATGTGATTCTATATCACTGGGAAGCGAAGCACATCAGTATAAAAAGCGCTGTTACATTCTCGGCTGCTGCTCCGGCCTTCTCCTATTATACATCGATGACCTCTTTGTAGTAAATCCCTTCACAAAGCGATTTCAATTACGGGATCACTCTGGGTCAAAGCTTCTCCCTGATATAGTTGGCCCTTATCACCCTGATGGTCCCATTGTCCGTGCAGAGAGAGCAATGTGTGTTGGTTTCGCGGTAAATAGCTATCGAACCACCAAAAGATTCAAGATCGTCAGCATACAAGAGATGCAAACGATGTATGGATTCGAGATCAGCGATGGGGATTCTTGGAGATTATCAAAAACGACCATCACCACTGGTTCAAAATGAAACATGTTTACTTGGATGGCACTCTTCACTGGTTGAGAAACGACGGAAGCATCATAGCTTTCAATCCCGAGACAGAGAGAGCACAACTGATTCCATCGGACATGAAACTCTTTTTCGCGGCAGACGAGAAGATCAATCGCCTGACCTTAATATCGGGAACGAAAGAAGCAATCTCGCTTTACAAACTACATGGAAATCTCAAGTGGGACATCGCCAAGCGGATCAAGAACGTAACTATGAACGAAAAAGAGCTTGTGTGTTGGCAGGTGGTTGTGTATGATGGCAAGCGTCTTGTGGTGAGGGAGAAGAAAATTGACTTTATACGAGGTGTGATTCATGTTTACGACATGGGAGCTAATAGTTGGAGAGTTTTGGGGTCAACTGGTCGGTGGGCCGAAAGCGTCTTAGACTTCTACAAGTTTACACCATCCTTGTACTTTGTCGAGGGTGATGAACATAAGAATGAGATTGTAGCTACAAATGACCTACGCATCTCCTATCTTACTAAGGTTATGAAACTCATTGATCATAACGAAGTAAACAATCTTCTTCGTACTTATTTGTTGGGTCGATAGATCACCCAAAATGTGTTGTGATTTGTAAGAAATAAATTATTTTCTCATTATATGGTCTTTATAACTTGACCATTTTCTAATGGAATTGTTATTCTTTAATAATTTTGGTGACCAATTAATGGATATTAAGAAGTTTAATTACAATTAAAAGTTAAAACTCATAAAAGTTATAAGAGATGCAGATGCGTATTAAACTTGTGTGCTACTAGAAACCACTTCTGATTGTAGCTATTGTTTGATTACCAAAGCTAAGATCATCAGATTAGAGTATTAAACTTGTGTGCCACTAGAAACCACTTCTGTATATTCTTAGAAAGTACACATATTTCTAATGTGTTTTAACATTCACACACATGACTCATAATTACTCAATCAATGAGATTATGAGTAGAGTAAGATAATGTGACACGAAATAACAAAAGCTAGACCAAAACTGGTAAAATCGCCTCTTATGCGTGTGTGGGTAGTTGAAAACGTAAAGAGAAAGCAGAGCAGATTCCCAATCACCCAACAAAGATCGATTAATTAACTTTTCTGGAGGATGGCGAATGGAAAGACTTTCCTCATCTGAATAATACTAAATACTACATTTAGCGGGCTGATAAAATCAAAATCGTAGTATAACTTTTAACTATTGATTCTCACGAATTCATCAAACGCATTTAAATTTTTAATTCCCACAAATAACGTGTGAGTTTAAATTCACAACTGAAATTAAATTAGGCTCTCTAAAAGCTTTAATAAACGTATCAAGCATTTTGCAGGAGAACTTCATAGTACTCAATTACTAATTAAGCTCTCTCTACGCTAATTATGATCTATAAACCAATTAAGCTCTAAACTTTATAATAATTTTTGATAATTTCAAAACCTCAAATTCATCACTTTAAAACTCGTAAGTCGGCACAGGAGGCGCATCAAAGCTCTCCAAAATCTGAGTTTTGCTCCCTGAATTCTCCTCACTTTCCTTCTTCTTCCCCTTTCCAAACAAATCCCCAAACCAAGATCCCGTACCAGACTCCGAACCAGAACCAGTCTCCGGTACGGTCTGACCAAAAATCTGACCAGACTGTACCGAACCAACATCCCCCATCAAAACCTGCTCGTTCTGCGCCGAAGCCGCAGCTTTGTTCATCATGATCCCAGCTCCTTCAATCAGAGCCAAAATCACACCTCCGAACAAAGCCGCTCGAGTCGAAGAAGCAAATCCTTGACGCAACGCGAGTAGACCACCAGTAGCGGCGCCTGAAAAGATCGAGTTCCATGGATCCTCTTTCTGTCTCGCGTACACGAAAGCGCAATCGAAGGTCGAATAGAGACCTCCCCACACCGCGAAGCTTCCTCCGAGTTTCGGCCCGTTCATCCGTAGAGACTGAGTTCCGCCGGAGAGACGATATCCGGCGGGGGAATTGTAGATTCCTTTTATGAAGTGAAACGCAGATCCTCCAACCGCACCCATCCCAAACGCACCGCCGATATCATCTAAGATCCGATCTGGACATGGCTCCCTCGCACTTTCTGGAGTTCCCATCGATTTCGATTCAGAGAAGATGAAGATTGAAGAAGACAAATCGAAGAACCCTTAAATCTTTTGATTTTATTTT